TTTTAGTAAATACTAAGTCATTAAAATAAATTTGAATTCAAATAAATGACATGTAATTCGTTAAACCTATTAGAAATGTGCTATAGTATAATTCGTGATATAAATCAGAAATCGTCAAATAAATTCGTAATATATAAATTCGTGAAAAAAAAGCGCTTTCGACAAAATACTAAAATAGAGATCTATCGACAAAGACTACTCACTTCTGCCTAGCTTAATAGTGTGAGATTGCCGCAGCTGATGCTCTCTGGTTATTTCAGTTTTTAAAAGCGGTATATGTTGAGCCAAATCAGCTAGATTTGTCATGTGACATTTTTAGCGGCAATCATTGGTCGATTTTCTAGCGTTGCCATTCGGGGAGTTGTAAAGAATTTTTTTTTGTCGCCGTGTAAGAGAAATATGTACATAGATTCTCTCTGTGCTGTGTGTGTGATTTACAAACTAATCTTGTTACATAAAAATCTTGTAACGTAAAAATAACTTCACTCACTCTTATGTACCATATCTTACTATACTTATAAATTTTAATGGTACTGGATGCCAAAAATGATAGGAGCTACTTTACACCAGGTAGAGTAAAGAAACATTCTCTGTGTTTCAATACACCAGGACCTATTTGCTGGTATTTGGTGTAGTGATAAACAAAGAACCAAGAGTTGTGTGCGGTGTTTCACAACAAACAATGATGCAAAAGTAGTTGCCGCCATTTTTGTAGTTAAAGCACACTCAAAATTTTCACAGTGAACGTAAAACTAACATTTCCTGGTGCATAAGTATCAAATATGAACTACCGACTATTCAAATCACATGATAAGAGTCACAAATAAAATAATTGAAGGTCATGGAATGTTATATAATGAATGCGTGAAGTTTTATTGTATAACCGTTGTTGAACAGCAGATCCAATTTTTGGGTTTACGACGACTAAATCTCAACTCCGTAGCCTTGTCATTTTATACCCAATCCAGAAGAAAATGAAATTCCTGGTTCAAGTATTGGAGAACTTTGCCTTCGTGGAGGATTTTTTAATGGAACTAACCCATATTTGTATTCTATGGAAAGGAAAACCACGAAAACCTCCTACAATTAACCTGACGGCAAGTGGACTCTAACCCATGATCCGTCTACCACTGAATATTTTACGTCTGCATTGTGGTCGAGTGCGGAATTCGTATCGAGCAACCATCGCTAAGATCCGAAGCCGATTCACCACATTGGAAGGCGAAAGCTCTATATGAGTTATCACGGCTCTATGCTTGAAAGTTGTAAATAATAACAAAAGAATCACAGAGTTGCTTAAGCGAATTTTACATAATCTAATATACGTGTGCAACAGAGAGCTAAAAATGCTGACAAAACTATTGTTGCTCTTCAGTATATTGTACCTTTGGTCCGTAAGGAACTTCTGGTTTTTCTAACGCTATAGCACCGACACACAGTAATATTTTGTTCTAGAAGTGTGAGAGGGAAAAAACGTTAGATTGTTATTACTCAACAAATATATTCAAACATAAATTCAGTAACATAATTGGGTACTTGCACTTCAAGAAAAAGACGTCCCATATTCACACATGTGACCTATGACGTCAGAGCCAACTAATCTTGATCAGCAAAAGGGCATATTAAAGGTGAGCTAAGTTTCTCTACATAAGTTTGAATGTTAATTAACCATAAGTTAATTAAATATATCGCACATCGAATGAGTTGAAATATAATTCTTTCTCGTCGACTTCTTTTACTTAACTTTGATTTTTTGTTTATGTGTTTTATTGTCTTCGTGATATATTTTTGTTTCGCGTACCTGGCAAGTTCGATGCATAATTAGTTTGCTTATGTTCCACATGGCTTCGTGTCTGTCTTTGTGTTACGTCTCTGTGTAAATATAGAGTGAAAAAATTTAAAATCTTTGAGAAAGATTCTTAGTGAAAGAATTTAGAATGTGTCACTTAAGAGCAATGATACTTGACGGGCTTGGCTAACTCGAAATAGAATGGAAAGAACAGTTGCGAACGTAAACAAATGCCATGTTTCAGCAACGCATTAGGATCGAGATACCCACACTACGTCACTTGCAGGTAGTTTGCTTATTCATGCGATCCGTGAGTCTGATACCACATCCGGCCTGGTTGGTCGGAGGGGGGAAACAACTTTATAAATCATTTTGATAAATATCCAGAACTTCAAAACAAAGCACCACCATTCCTTAATCCATACGTAGCAATGGAGAGCAAATTGCTGAAATAGGAGAAATTTTTCTTGTTTTTTAATATGTACTTGTTCTGACAACTCAAAACCTTGAATATGAACTGCGGAACTTGTACAGCTAAAACTCATTTTTACCTTGCAAGTTGAAAAATTGCATTCCATGAGGAGTTATCATCAGGTTCAAGAATGGATGGGCAATGAAAAAGTCCCCTTGCATAGGTTTTGGATTCAGACTCCATCACACTCCCAGGAAAGGATCTGTCTCCAAAATACCCTCGACACTGCATATCATTGCATGTGGTTGCAGGTCTACCATAATCTGCAGACCTTGCAATGAGCAGGTTTTCCGAAAATGCAAAGCAAATCAGGAAGAAGAGAGACTCGATCACAAGATTGAAAGATCGAGCTGGTATAGGAAGGATAGGAATCAATAAAATGTTGCTTCGATGCAAACTAGGAACCAAAACAATGAAAAACACAGGGTAAACTAACCAGTGAAGGAACACTTAAGCTTCGCTTGCCTTTTAAAAAATCATATTAATTTCAAAATTCGTAATTTCAGTTAAATGACAGTGTCAACATATTTGTTACTAATTGCAAATTATGCAAAAAAATTGCAGAGAACTTACATAATATTGTTTTAAAGTTTTGGAGGTTCAAATAACAAGTAGTAAGAAGACCCAGTGAAGGAACAGCTCTTACCAGTGAAGGAACACAAAATTGCCCAGTGAAGGAACACTTAATTTTGGTTATTTTTTAATGCTCTTTATGAATTTTTTAGCCATACAAATACAGTCGGACATCTATTTAACGAACTTCCATTCTACGAATTTCCCTATTTTACGAATTTTTTCGAGGAACCAAGAGCATTTTGGAAATTTTTTTGTAAAATAACTTCCATATAGCGAAGTGAATTTTCTATTTAACGAACTTTTCATTGAGATCCAATTTCCCTATTTTCCAAAATATTTCTTAACATTTTAAACTTGTTAAAGCAATTTATGGGGGAAATGACATTAAATTAATTTTCGAAGCCACTGCTTTATGAAATGTATTACTGTTTTGTCTAAAAATTATCTTAGAGAAAGCAGTAAATTCCCTTTCCCTTTTTGTTTGCACTTCAAACGAAAAACTCACTTCAAATTAACGGATTTCATCCGTAGCAATTTAACTTAACGCAAGTGGTAATGTATGTTTAAAATTACTTTTATAATAAATGCAACTATATTTT